ATTTCAATGAGGGCTCACTGAAAATAATCCTACAATCAGACAAACTACCCTTTCATACATTCAAGTGCATATGCATGCATACATTAGGGGAGAGTGGGGTAACTTGAGCCAAAGGGATAAGTTGAGCCACCCTTGTTTCTAGGAAACCACACACAAAATTAATAATTTAACCAAAAATATTTTGGCAGAGGTCATCATTTAATGGAGTGTGTGAAGGAAGAAACCACATGGTATTGTGTTAGAGGTTTCATGACGCTTGTATCTGAAGCAAAGTAGACCGTTTTTAAGAATGTTCGATACATCAGTTTAGGTCCCTATAAGCTTCTATATGAGGTCCTAAACCAGTGGTCACCAACCGGTCGATCATGATCGACTGGTCGTTCTCCAAGGCATTCCTAGTCGATCACACATTTCTGTAAAAAATCCAACGATAAAGCCTTACGTTCCTATTTTTTGTATTCGTTTCGCATCGTTGGCGGTAGGTGCACTTGATTCAGCAGCCCTAGCGCCAGGAAAGCAAAATCTTGAACCATTTAATATGTCTGAAGGTAGAACTCCACCTAGCTACCCGGCAGGCCCAGAGAGTAGATCAAGTGTACGTATAGGCCTGCCGCTGGCCAATCAGATAGCTCAGATCACCGTGTCTGCACAGTTTCCATAGACTGTAAAAAGAAGCCATAAAATGCTTGTTCTCCCTACTTCTACTCACGCTACAACCAGCACTACAGCTGCAATGAATGAGTATAGGAAAGTGTTCCGTTAAGATAGCGTTGTTATTAGCGGCTTGTGTCTTTTTTAATATCAAGGAATATTTCACTTTCTCTGGTCATAGGAGTAACAACATGAATTGGTGCATGAGGGAGAAATAATGCAGTGCGACTTGAGTTTCACCATCAGCAGGAAGACTGTGTCCCCTTTTCTCAGCGGAGGGAGGGAGAGTGAGTCAGGTGAGAGACAGCCTTACCACTGCTCCCTCCCCTCTGACTGACCATCAGATGCAGGCCATCAGTCCAGTAAAAAAAAAGCGAATTATGTTCACTCAGCTGTGCCTCACAAGTAATACAACAAATTATCTATTACCATTGTGATCATATACTTAACATTTTAAAATACAGCATCATTTCAAAATGGTCTGAGAAGAACAACATTGGCTAGGCAATTCAAGCATATAGCCAATATGCAGTGAAAATGTATTGGGCCTATAGCCTAGGCCTACTGCACAAACCTCATTGCTTCAGAACTGTTTCTAATTGGTTAATGTTACGTTTCTAAAGTCATGTTTTTAAAAAATCTGAGCGGTAGATCTCTGCTTGCATTTTGACAAATTGATCTCGACTCAGAAAAGGTTGATGACCACTGTCCTTAACCTAGCATGAAAGTGCATCCTTGTAGCTGTATGAGCTAATATAGTCAAACGTTTTGCCTTGGTGTAAGTTGAGCCAATGGTTGAGCCAATGGCAAGTTGAGCAAATGAAAGTGTTTTCTTCCCAGGCGTAATGCAAGGCATTATCGCTGTGATATGAGGTAACAACAGGGCCTGGCCTATGTTAAAAGTGTCAACAAAAAAAAGTGCTTAGTGTTTGTTAGGTGTTAAAGGGATATTTTGGGATTTTGGCAATTAAGCTCTTTATCTACTTCCCCATTTTTATGTCTTTGCGTGCGGTTAAGGAAATTGCTAACTAGCGTTAGCGCAATGACTGAATGTCTACGGTAACCTCTAGCATGCTAAACTTCCTTCATACTGGACGCAGCAACATAAAAATGGTGTCCACGAGTTCATCTGACTTTGGGGAAGTATCCATTTTAGCCTGTGTTGAAAGACGCTTAAAATTATTAAAAGACAAAAAAGCGATTGTGTTGAATTGTGTTTGGGAAATAAAGATAGACATGGTCTAAAAAAGGTAGTGGTAACATTTCATTCAGTACAGAAATGTGTAGGATGCTTACTTACCCTGTCCCGTGGCTCAACTTACCTAATACCCGGGGTAAGTTGTGCCAAGAGACCACTTTTTTTGGACAAGCTATGTTTTAAAAACTGTAATGTTTACATTAATTCTGATTATTTCCAGGGATACACAACATCCTGAAATACACTGAGTGTACAAAAAATTATGAACTCCTGCTCTTTCCACAACATAGACTGATCAGGTGAATCCAGGTGAAAGCTATGATCCTTTATTGATGTCACTTGTTAAATCCACTTCAATCAGTGTAGCCTTGAGACAATTGAGACATGGATTGTATGTGTGCGCCATTCAGAGGGTGAATGGGCAAGACAAGATTTAAGTGCCTTTGATCGGGGAATGGTAGTAGGTGCCAGACGCACTGGTTTGTGTCAAGAACTGCAACGGTGCTGGGTTTTTCAGCTCAACAGTTTCCCATATATCAAGAATGTTCCACCACCCAAAGGACATCCAGCCAACTTGACACAACTGTGGGAAGCATTGGAGTCAACAATATTAGGAAGGTGTTCTTAATGTTATGTACACTCAGTCTATATGTAGATATCTTTGTTATAAAGAATGCTATAATTCCCTTGATGGATTGATGCTGAATGTACAAAAAGGCTCATCTTACCCCACTCTCTCCTACATACATACATACATACATACATACATACATACATACATACATACATACATACATACATACATACTGACAGATAAATTAATGAATGCATATTTCACACAATAATTATTACATATTAAATCACAGTACTGTACATCCCCTGTAAGCGAACATGTCCACACACTCAGAGAAAGAGAGAGAGACTTAATTTGTTCTTGGAAACAAACTGCTGTTAAATTATTTAGTTGTTCCCTTGCTTTAAGTAAATTCCCTCATTAAAAAAACAGCAACAAAACAAATCAGCATGACCCAGAGTGGGAGAAAGTAGGTCGCTAGCAACAGGCTCACTCCACTCCCACCACATGCTGGGGAGAGCTCTCTCTCTGTCTCTCTCTAATGGATAGGTACATCCAAACACACCTTATACACACTCACATGATAAATAACACACATTGGCTCGTATCCACTAACTATCGGACACGGCCTCAGATTTGAGGTGATATAAGCATGTACACAAGCACACACAAAGACAGAAACACACACAGACTGCAGTTTCAGCAGAACTGGCTATGCTCCGTCAACAGGTGGAAAACAGCACAACATCGCAGTATAGCAGTGGCAAATGGAAAACAATGCACCCTTTCACTACCCTAATTCTCGTGTGTGTGTGTGTTTGTGTACATTATGTGGATGTGTGTCTGCATTTTGTGTGGGAGGGTGCAATCTTCAGTATGTATGTGTGCTTGCATATGTGTGTGTGTGCCTGTGTGTGTGTGTGTGTGTGCCTGTGTGTGTGGGTCTCTATTGAATAGCTGGTGGATTTTTGCCTACAGTATGTGAATGTGTGTATTACTGTAAGTGTTTGTGTGTGTGCATATTTTCATATGCGCGTGTGTGTGTGTGTGTGTGCACCACAACCCTGACAGTGACACTCATTCAACAGCTCACTGAGAAACTCACACCAAGATCCCAATCAATGCCAACATCAGCAATTTTCACATTTTAAAACCCTGAGCCTGTAACTCATCACTCACAGAGGGATAAATAAATATTGGTCGGGACAGTCGAGACAGAGACAGGCTAGATTAATGGCGGCCATATTTTACGCTGACGCCCCTTGGGTAGGTAAACAACATGGTTGCCAGCAGTGCAGAGGAGAGACGAGGCTATAGGAATTATTTCATAAGAAACTTGTTTATTTGCTGTCTGTCTGTTGACGGTACTTAGAGGAGTGAGAAACACGATGGGCCGCTAAACGGTTCCACTGGCTTGATAATGGCTTGCATTTATGAGGTAGTTTTGGATGGGTTTCAAAATGTTTTACATTTAGGGGGTTGGGGGTGCGGGGAGTAGGGAGTAGGGCCGGGACGATACCAGTATTGCAATATTTTCTCCGTGGCAAAAATGAAAACACGAAGCAGACCAAACTCTTTGGTCCTTTACAAATCTGCTCTATGTAAAATATTGTGTCTGTTATAGCTTGGAAAATTAATAAATGTGACTCTGGATGACAACATAATGATGTTTGTTTCCAACATTAGGGCTGTTTTCCTAAAGAAGTTAAAAACTGCTTAGTGTTTTCGTTACCACAATACTAACGAGTATCACGATACTGGTATCATCCCGGCCCTAGCGGGGAAGTCACCTGAACTATCTAGCCCAGAACTGTGAAGGACCCAACTGGGTGATGCATGGTACCCATTTTGCACCAGAATGCTCTCCACACATTGGCAGATTTCCACAGTTGGTTGGGAACATAGGGCTCTTTTAGTAGCTCTGGGGGACTTTCTATTGCTCAGATATGCACTGATTTCAGGTCAGCTCTGTCCACGCCCATCACAACCTGAACAGTTCATTTAAACCCTTAACAACTAATTTATGATCAGTTCTCTCTACCCACAGCCTTAACCATCTCTATTACGAACATAACAACAAAACTGGCCCCATACCATTTCCTAACAACACAAAACCACACTCACCTCAACCGTCAAATAGAGGGGATGCTGGTGCCTGAACCAATCATGGCCTTTCACACCCAAACCACTGTAGGAATGATATCCAATCAGATGCCAGAATGACCACAAGCATAAACATACATTGAAAGCAAATATGTTGCTGGAATGAAGCAACCCATTGTAATGTGTCAAATGTTTTCAGATCTTCATAATGCATGTCAAATAAAGTTGGATTTGATTTGATTAAAAGCCATCAATTCCATTCCATGCTATCACCCCCATCTGCCTATACCAGAGAGGACAAAATATGGCACCTTTTGACCACCAACGCAATTATAACCACAAACCACTAACCTTAACAGAAACCATTTACCCTTACTTTTACATTTAAATAATGAAAAAAACAACAGATAAATAGTTCATGTACCAGGTCATCTTAGTTGACAATATTGCCACTTGTGTCGGATCCTTTCTAGCATGGTTTTCTACCAACAGTCTACCAACCGCCTCAAGTCAAGTCCTGAGAGGAATGTGTACAGAATATGGGTACTGTTATGTTACAGTTGGATTTGCTAGAATGTCTTTCAGTGTGACTGACTGTACTCCAACACCAACTCTCCATTCCTCTATCTCTCTCCTCTCAGGTTTGATTACCAGGAGCTGCTCCACAACTCCACCTTCTGCCTGGTTCCTCGGGGTCGTCGCCTGGGCTCCTTTCGCTTCCTAGAGTCTCTACAGGTAGGATGCCAAATACTGATCACAATAAACTAACATGGTCTTAGAAGAATGCCAAATACTGCTCCCAATACACTAGCATGGTCCTAGAAGAATGCCAAATACTGCTTCCAATACACTAGCCTGGTTCCAGATATGTGACCTGTTTGTGATGTCTTGCCAACTCCTATGACCAACTCCTGGGACCAGGCTACGAGTACGAATACAACTCTGAACTATCAAGATTATGGATTGACGTGGATTGTGTTATCAGTTACACTATTCGTATCATAGCCACACTCTGCCCAACTATCGTATGAAGATCTTTATGTGCTGTACTAACGTGTACAATTTATGGTGGTGTTGGCTGATTTGCTACAAGAAAAAAAGAAAGAAGGGGGTGGATCTTTGGTAAATATAACGTTGAAAGGGTTTACCTTTCATCAAATTTAGCTTCAATAAACCATGTAGTACATTAAATAATGATCTTAGATGGACTGTATGGATTTACCACCCATGTTGATGTTTTGGTGATGGAGCTGTGTTCATGGTTTTACCTACCAATGAACCTCCCAGACTCTTGTATTCCCTGGCTATCTCTCTCTCGGAGTCTCTCAATGGTCCGGAAGCTTCCATAGGGGTGCCAGCCTGCCACACTGCTGATCTGAGCTTAATGGGCAAATCCACTGAACGCAGGGCTTGGCAGGGAAGCTCACTCTCACACAGATAACTCACTCCTCCGCACTCACTCCCCCACTCTCTCCCTCCTTCTCCCTCTGTTTCTCTTCCCTTTCTTCCTCTGTCTCCTTTGCTTTTCCATTCAGGCCAGTCTGAGATTTGTAAGATCTCCTTTTACTCTCCATGCCAGCCCAAGCCCACGAAAGAATGGGCAATTACCAGTGTGGTAGGAAACTTACTGCCAGCGTTCCAACTCTCGGTACATACACTCCTGCGGGGGCACACACACACACGGACAAATGGCTGAGTACACACACATACACACACACACACACACACACACACACACACTACCCCTGATGCTCCTCTCTTCATCTCCCAATGCAAACTACCAAAAAACAACAACACACATATCCCCACATGCTGAGCTGCACTGGGATCCAGTCAGGGGAAAACTTCTTAGTCAGTCCGCCTCAAAGCACCTCATCTCTGGGGAAATGGCTCAGGCGAGCCTCAGGCTTCACGTCAGCTCTGGAGGCCTCAACGTCTGGCTTGACCCTGTTACCTGGAGCGTAGCCTAGCATATCTTAGTGTTGTCTGCATGGCTGCCTGAGTGAGGGCCGGTCGCTGGTGAGGCAACTAGCGGAGCTTCAAACCGCCAGAGGGGGAATCTCAGTCGGAGTCATCTGATCTCAGTCTGAAGCTGGTTCTGGCTGCTCTCCTGTGATTTAATTAGATAAAGAAATAAAACCAACACCCAAGACCGCAGCTTAGAGAGAGAGGGAGAAAGAATGAAGGAGGGAGGGAGCTGAAAAAAGACAAGTAGAACAACATCAAAAACCTGGCTGTCAGTAAACAAGGGGATACAGCAACATCAAACACAACTTCAATAAACCATGATGTATTATCCCCCTCCTCTCCCCATTTCTCTCATACTCACTCCCTCTCTCCATCCTCCCGGTGTAGTGTACTTAATTAGCAGACTAGGAGTTTGTTAAATCAGCGTGTGTGTTGTGTGTGTGTGTGTAACGCAGCAGAAGTTTGGTCTCTTTCTCTCTAGGGCCCCAAGGGGCTCCTGGGACTGTTAAGATAGTAGCTGTGACTCATGCAACCTCCCCGAGAGAGTGTCACACACACACACACTGCATCATTAATTTCATGATCTGCTCAGACTGCCTTATTGAAGTACCAGCTGGTACTATATGGTGGTATGTGTCAGAGACGAAGACTGGAAATCTAGACAACGTATTTATATTGAATGTCTACCACAAGCAGAGCAGATGAACAATGGTAGCATTACCAATTACCCTTACCATTTCCTGTCTTTGTCTCCTTGTCACACTGACTCAGTCTTTCTCCTTCTGTTTCCACTCGCTCTCTCTATATCTCTCTCTCCGTCTAGGCGGCATGTATTCCAGTGTTGCTCAGTAATGGTTGGGAGCTGCCCTTCTCTGATGTCATCCAGTGGAACCAGGCTGTCTTAGAAGGAGATGAGAGATTGCTACTGCAGGTAACGCGCGCACACACACGTGCGCACACACGCACGTCCCGCACGTTTACAGCAGTTCTGGAATCAATACTGTTTGAACCCAGTTGATACAGGAAATAACCTGACGTCCAGCTAGATAATGAACAAAAAATATATATATTATATATATGTTGGAAAGGACATCATAGGACATAGAATTGACAGATTCAAAATGGAATTGACCCAAAACAACATTAGGCCCACATGTGCATCCATATACCCACACACATACGCTCGCATGTACACACACACACACAAACACACACGCACACACACTCCTCCCCCTCACACACTCTGACCACCCACAAGCATATACACGCACACACAAACACACACACGTGCCTCGGGGTTAGGGATGTGGAAATTGAGTTTTGAGGGAATAAAGCTGGTGACGGGAGGTTGAATGGGGCCAAGCACATCAGAGAGACAGGAGATCATTGAGAGGTGAATCTCTCTTTCAGATCTAGAGATGAGAGGAGAGAGAGTGAGAGGGAGGAGATAGAGAGAGGGAAAGAGGAGTAGGATATAGGAAAGGATGAGGGAGGCCCTTTGCTTCCTCAGGTCCCCATCATTAGAAAAGCTGTTATATGGTAAAGATTAGGTTCTAGGGGAGTCAACTGGCTACCTGACTGGCCTTTTAACATCACTGTAGAAGATGCAGACTTCCCTGCTAGGCTAACTTGATTTAATCATAATCAAATCACATGGCCATTTAGCAGATGTTTTTATCCAAAGTAATCGCCTGTTGTAGACTTACAGGGTAGGTGAGTCAACTGGATATATTTCCTCTTTCTCCAGCTAGCTGATGCATTCATGGTATTTCGTTTAGGAGAGTGAACGGGGTGAATATGGGCGCGACCCCCTTTATTTTCCTCTAGTACAGCGTAGTGTCATCGCTTAACTTACCTGAAATGTAATTCAGGTAAACCATGTGTGAAGTAAGAGTACTACCTCTGATGGAAGTAGTCTGCACTATAGACAGAGCTAGGTGAGCTAGGATAGCTGCTGGGCACCTGTCCTGAACCGTAGCTCTTCCTCTGGCAAAAGAATAGCACCTGTCCTGAACCGTAGCTCTCCCTCTGGCAAAAGAATACCATTTATAGTGGATTAGTGTCTGACCTGTCTTCCTCTATAGTACGGGTTATTGACTGTCAGAGCAGGTTGAGTCGAGTCGAGAATAAAATGCTAGGGGCTTTCTCTTTCTTCACACACACATACACACACACACACACACACACACACACACACTAATGGCTAGGTGTGTGTTTCATATCAAAGGGTTTACAGCCTTGCAGGTAAAAATTGAACATTATACTGTAAGAAAACGTAATTATTTTACAAGGCAGTTAAGAGAGCAGTGTCATTCTATGAAGTACATTTCATTCTGCAACATTCTGATTGTTTTATCCTGTTGAATACATGACCTTGCCTGCTGTGCTCTCCCTTTTCTATCTCTCTCAACCCTCCTATCCTCTCTCTCAACTTCCACCCTCCCTCTCTCCCTCGTTCTTCCTCCTCCTCTCTCTCTCAGGTCCCGTCTACAGTGCATGCGGTGGGAAATGAGCGAGTCCTAGCTCTGAGGCAGCAGACCCAGATGCTATGGGAGGCCTACTTCTCCTCCGTGGACAAGATAGTCCTCACAACACTGGAGGTAGTTGATAAGGAGTGTAGGGTCATTAGGCACCAAACGGGAGTAAGGGTACTGAAACAGGAAAGGACTATCTGGACCAATAAGAAATTCTTGTTTTTGTTTTCTGTTGCAAAATGTTTTTCTATAGTGTGCTCTAATGAACGACCCAGAAACTGTGAGAGAGAGATGGATTTTCCTCAGGTTCATTTGTATGGGATTGGATTGGATGTTTTGTTCTTATACTGACACCAGCTGGTCAAAGTGAGGAAGTGCAGATAGCTGCATTTGTATTCTTGAGGTGATTGCTTCAGTTTTACACACAAAGTTGGCCAGCCCATATGGGCATAGATAATGATGGTTTGAACATATGGGTACTTCAGGGCGTTCTAACAGATTAACATACGTAGCTCCCCTCAAACCTCACCGTGTCATCTCTCTCTTGCTCTCTCTCCTCAGATAATTAAGGACCGGGTGTTCTCCCACGTCTCCAGAAATAAGTACATGTGGAACGCCCTGCCAGGGGGCCTGCTGGTCCTGCCAGAGTACTCCACTCACCTGGCCCACTTCCCCTTTTATTACCTGAGTCTAGGTAAGGAACCACACCAGACTGGACTGGACCGGTTCCGACTAGTTCAGACCAAGCTCATCCTTATAATTATTCATCCTCAATAGGGTCTCCTCTGATAAAACAAAAATAGACATTTCTTAAAGTTTATAATTATTTGGCTCCTACATTAATGTTACTACTTTCATATATGCAAAGCTGTAATGTACAAGGTAGATAGTAAAAGTGAATATGGTGTAATTGCAGACCGCAATTCGGGGCGTAGGTGTCAATTCTTGATGTGGGTGTTCCCTAATATCAGGAAGCGCTCATTGATACCTGCCATTAGTCAGTTCCGGTGTTATCAGACTGATGGTTTCTTGACACAGATGATTTGTTTACATAGCAGGTTAGGATAATTAACATGGCAGGTTAGGATAATTAACATGGCAGGTTAGGATAATTTCCGTGGCAGGTTAGGTGAATTACGTGGCAGGTTAGGTAAATTAGTGTGGCAGGTTAAGAGACTGAGGTTAAGGTTAGGTTTAGGGTTAGGCTTAGCTACAATGTTACAGTTGTCAACAACTGTTGTCCCCGACACAAAAGATACAGCAACGGATCAATGGCAAGCATCAACGGGTGTAATTTGACATCAAGAAACGCCGATATCAGAAAACGCCCCTAATTGCAGTCTGCAATTACAACCCTTCTTGTAAAAGTAGAAACTCTTCTCCCTTACCTTCTCCTCCCTCCTCATTCCTTCCTGCAGGGGTCAGTCCTGGTCAAGAGTTCACAGCCATCATCCATGCCGTTTCCCCATTGGTCTCCCAGTCTCAGCCAATCATGAAGCTGCTTCAAGTGGTCTCCAAGTCCAAATACTGTTCACAGGTGAGTGTGTTTTAGCGTGTCGGTGAGTAAGAGTTCATACGTAGCAAATAGACAGCTCTACATTGCTTCATTAAGCCTAATAACCCTTATGCTTATTGTGTCACACACTATTCCTTCCCCCTCTAGATCATCATCCTGTGGAACAGTGAGAAGCCACCGCCCCACAGGAGTAAATGGCCCCCCATGCCTGTCCCCCTCACTGTGACAGACGGTAGGAGGAAGGTTAGTGACAATGACGAGTCGCCAAACTCCCCAGTCAGGCCACGAGTGACAGAATGACAAACCCCCCCCCCCCCCCCCCCCCCCCCCCCCCCCTCTCACAGTGAATCTATGGGAGTAACCTCCTTCCTTTGTCACTGCTTGTCATTCACTCATCCTCTCCCCCCCCCATACCACAGAGGAGCGGACAGTGTCCATGTCATTCCTTCATTCTCCAAAACACAAACCAACCACATTGAAACCTAACAAGGAACGGAAATGACCGTCTCTCTCTCTCAATGCCCCTCTCTCCAGACGAGCAGTCGTTTCCTGCCCAACGTGGCCATAGAGACAGAGGCAGTGCTGAGTCTGGATGAAGATACAGTCCTGCTGACCAGTGAGGTATGACCTTCCTATACAACAACACACTGTGGTAGAAAACACACACCCACACGCTTTAGCCATCTAACTGTACTCATTCTTACCGCAGGTGAACTTTGCTTTCTTGGTGTGGATGAGTTTTCCTGAGCGCATCGTGGGCTACCCCCCCAGGAGTCACTTCTGGGACCCAGTGAAGAATGCGTGGGGGTACACCTCCAAGTGGACTAACGAGTACTCCATCGTTCTGACAGGAGCAGCCTTCTACCACAGGTACTGTAACCAAAGAATCGGCCTCCCCATTCAAGTCAACCACTCAAATTGCCAGGGTTAGAGGTTCCAAGCCCTTTCTATGGATTCTATTTCTATGACTAACATTATAATCTACTGACACACAATAGAACAACATAGTATTCAAACTAAAAACATTAAACAGATGGTCTATGAGCTGTGGCTACTACATGAGGTATCTTAATACCCTTGCATTTTGCCCTTAGAAGAAAGTATTACCAGGTTTAATGTATAGTTCAATATCAATACCCCAACCAACAAGATCTGACAAGTAGATACATACATTGGCTACATCACCTATTTCTTTGCTATCTCTCAACCTTCCATTTCCTCTCCATCAGGTACTATCACTACTTGTTCTCCCACTACCTGCCCCCCTCCCTGCGGGCGCTGGTGGACCGCACCTCCAACTGTGAGGACATCCTCATGAACTTCCTGGTTTCCGCCGTCACCCACCTGCCGCCAATCAAAGTGGCCCAGAGGAAACAGTACAAGGATCTTCCCAGCCCACAGGTGAGGCCACACCCATCGATGGTGAATCTGACCAATGAGCTGCCCAGCCCACAGGTGAGGCCACACCCATAGATGGTGAATCTGACCAATGAGTGCTCATTATTAGTTCTTTGTTACTGTAGTCATGACTGATATGATATCAAAGAATGACAGCAGTATTGGTGTCCAAAACAAAGACAATTAAATAACTTTTAACAAGGGTTAGACAGAGTTACATCAGTAATAGATATTGTATAAAATAATAATTGAATCCTTTTCTGCGCCCTCAGGCACAGAATAAAGTTTTATGTTATTGCGGTGAGAACACACAATAATAATCAAGAGCAAACCTTTCTGTTCAAATGACCTCGGCTGAAAGTCAGCCCGTTGCACAACCTCAACAAAACCATTTCCTGTAAATGTCTGCTGCCTATAATTGACAATTGCTGATAAGAATGACAACAATTTTTTTTTAATGTGACAGTACCTTACTCAAGTCTATTTTAGTGAAGATGAGATTGTCCCAGAAAGACAAACAGACAGTGTATGTCAGCCAGTATGTCACAGACTGAAGGTTATGTCTTCCTACTCTATCAGACTGGAGATAAGAAAAAGTTCTGTGCAACCCTATGTGTCCGACGTGAGATCAACTAGCCATCATAATTGTAACAGTTCCCTAGTTTTCTGACAAGCAATATACATATCAGTCATATATCTTTATCAGCCTATAGATAAGATTGAGGCATGAAGTCACCAGTAATTATCTACAGTATACATTCCCACAGTATACAGAACCATAACTATATTTCTTCATCCCGTCTGTACATTGATGTGATATGCAACTTTGCGGACGACCACCTTGGTTTCAAACTCACCCTCTTTTTCTCTCTCCTCCATATCCTCTTTTTCTCTCTCCTCCTAGGGTACGAAGATGAGTGCTCCATGGGCCAACCCAGAGCACTTTACCCAGAGACAGGAGTGTGTGAACAGTTTCGCCAGCTGGTTCGGCTACATGCCCCTGGTCCACTCCCAGTTCCGCCTGGACCCCCTGCTCTTCAAGGACCAGGTGTCTGTCCTGCGCAAGAAGTACAAGGACCTGGAACGTGCCTGACGGACCAACAGATGGATAGGGGAATACAGTGTGGAGGCCTGGTCTGGTGATTAAATGTAGACAGACAGACAGACCCTGGTGGACTGATCTGATGATAAAAGAGGAAGAAAGGGGACCTAAAGCTAAGAGATAGACTCTGCCTCCAGGGGTCTGAGACGACGGGCTATTGGAGGAGGAAACATATGGAGAAGGCCTTATGTCCCCTGTGATTGGTGCTCTATTGGTAATGGATGGGTGAATGAACACTTGTTGAAGATGTCAACCACTCCCATTGCAGTCTGAATGGAGGGGAACAGTATTTAATGTCAAAGGAAGGCGCCAAGCGGACAGTTGCTGGTGCAGTGCACTCCAGCTGGCGTATTTCTACAGTACATCTGGGAGTTGGGACGGTCGCAAAGCAATTGGTTCATTTCACATCACGTAACTGTAAGACCAATAAAAACATTTCCCAAGTGCAAATGGTGGTATTCAACTCACATGTAGACTTTTGACAAAGCATTACTTCAAATGCATTCACCAGACCCTTCGAAGTATCAAAGGCAAAGCAAACATTTCTCATAAAATCAGTGTTTTTACAATGTATTTATTTTGTAGAAAAAGACTATAACCTATTGCTTGTGATTTCTTTGAGATCCTGCATAGTGTGCAAAAATAGATTCACACGCTTGATACTTCCGATTCCTCAGCAGTCGGCATGCAAGATTCTCAACCCTTAAGGTAAACAGGTGTGTTGCCCAGCACTCAGGAAGCTAATCGCATTAATGATGCTAAGACACACACACGCACACCTGAGATAAATAGCTGCCATGGGCTAATTTGCGATGAGATCCCATTGTCTTCAACTCAGTTCACAGGTGACACTCACTAGTGTTGGTACACAAAGAATAAGGGCAGACATTAAGCACTGACACTAGATCAGCCTCTTGTGCACGGTGGAATTCATAACCATGAATTCAAGTTTATTTAGCTGGTCCTGAGTCAGTGATTATCACCCCAAAAAAGGCTGGAAAACATATGTAGTAAAAAATATATAAGTAAACTCAATTAATTAAATGTCTCTAAAAGCACCATACTTTAAAGGTAGATCACCCAAAGCATCCAGCGGTCTATCTCACACCAGAACAACAATGGTTGGAGGTACTAGGGAGTTTTCTGGGTCAGGAAAAACTCATGGCCCCTAGTGGGAGGGCATTGTGAAGTGCAGTGAGAGAAGGTTGGAGGGAGGGGGTGAGGTCATCTGTGATGTCATTTCCTGAGTGTCAGCATGGCGATGACGTCCCATAGCAAGTTCCTCATCTGGTCCATCAGAATCTTCATCTCCTGGTTCTTCTGCCTCACCTTCTGTGGATGGGACCATAACACACAGAACCCAATTAGAATCAAGGAAAAGTACTGTCTCTGTACTAACTATTGGTTGTCATCCAACAAACAATATTGAATCAGTGACATACAGAGGAAGCGGACACGTCACAAACCTCCAGCACTTCTTGTCTCTCCTGGTTTACAGCTGGACTGCAGGGCTCCACTCTCACAGGGGCTATCTCTTCTCCTACATATGGCACCAGCTGCAAAGAAGACGTGTTATACACCAAGTTCCTCACATCATTGACACGCATCAAAACAAATGCACGACAAGTAATATTGTCAAAGGTGACAAGGTACAGATAGACAGAAAAACAGGTAGAGCTTGTGTATAGACAGAAAGCCAAACGTGCCTGATTCACACTAGAGGGCTGACCCGAACCGTACTGTGCTGGCTAGGATATTTTATTTTTTACATGATCCATTCCAGCATGGTTCCAGCAACTATGGTGAATGCATAACCAAGCCAGCCCAGTACAGCTTGGATGGGGTTAATAGAGTGAAAGGGGAATGGAGGGATTTTGTACATAGAAATTGAATTGAACCCTACCTCTGAGGGTTCTTCCTGCAGGTCAGAGGTCATCTCCACACAGAGGAGGCGGAGCTTGCGGAAGAGCAGGGCCAGCTTACTGAGATGCTCCTGAAGTTTCCCGAAGCGGTCCTGATACACAGGCTGGCTCTGGGTCACCCGGATAGGCATCTGACAGACAGGAGTAAAGAGGGAGGACAACCACCAGAAGAGGATAAATAGTTACATTACTTTTAGTCATTTGCAGACATTCTTATACAGAGCGACTTACCGTTAGTGAATACATATTTTTTTTATACTGGCCCCCGTGGGAATCGAACCCAACCCTGCCGTTGAAAAACCATGCTCTATCAAACTGAGCTACACCCTGCCGGCATTCCCTCCCTACCCTGGACAACGCTGGGCCAAATTGTGCGCCGCCCATGAGTCTCCCGGTCACGGCCGGCTGCGACAGAGCCTGGATTAAACCAGGATTAGTGGCACAGTTAGCACTGCGATGCAGTGCCTTAGACCACTGCGCCACTCAGGAGTAGTATGTTGTAAATATACTATAAACAGTATTACTTTATATTGAATCTCTATGCGGAAACGCTTGATGAGACCGACAGACAGCTCAGCTCAGTACATCATTCTTTAATTAACCTTAATTCCATCAGGGCAGGTGGTACTGCTGCTGCTGGGGGAGAATCCCAGCCAGACCAGGCCCCTTTTGAAGTAAGGGTGTAGCCATATGGGACCTATGGAGGGAAAAGGGGAGGGAGGTCAAAGGGCAAGAGGGGGTGTGACACAATGGAGTTCACAGGCAAGCAAGCACTCATAGGCAATTTTGCACAAGACGCTTTTATCAAATATGAAAATCGAAGTAATACTGCTTTACTTAACTAACAAAAGATTTGTTAAACCAAGCTAAAGATATTTGGGGGAGGCATTAACCCGTGTGGCTCAGTTGGTAGAGAATGGTGCCTGCAACGCCAGGGTTGTGGGTTCGATTCCCACGGGGGACCAGTACAAAATGTATAAATCTTTATGCACTCACTACTGTATAATAAGAGCGTCTGCTAAATTACTCAAATGTAAATAAAAACAGCACCCTTGTTATACTAGCTAGCCCAATAATGGACTAAAGGAGCCTAACGTTACTCCTTATAGTCCAAGGACCTTACATGTTCTGTTTAAAGGCGAATTAGCTCTGGAAGCCAAAACAGCCAAATACTCCATCTAAATGTGAATCGATTCTGAATTGCGGCAAGTGAGCAGACACTCGCAAAACGCTGTCAAGCCATCCGCGCTTCAGTTTCCACCTGAATTTGCATGCGCGAATACACACCACTTTAAAGGTATCTCGTGTTTTCTGGTAGGTAATTTCATTGGTTATTCTATATTACAAACTGGGTGGTTAGAGCCCTGAATGCTGATTGGCTGACAGTCGTGGTATATCAGACAGTATACCACGGGTATGACAAAACATGTATTTTTATTGCTCTAATTACATTGGTAACCAGTTTTAATAGCAATAAGGCACCTTGGGGGTTTGTGATACACTGCTCAAAAAAATTAAGGGAACACTAAAATAACACATCCTAGATCTGAATGAATGAAATAATCTTATTAAATACTTTTTTCTTTACATAGTTGAATGTGCTGACAACAAAATCACACAAAAATTATCAATGGAAATCAAATGTATCAACCCATGGAGGTCTGGATTTGGAGTCACCCTCAAAATTAAAGTGGAAGACCACACTACAGGCTGATCCAACTTTGATGTAATGTCCTTAAAACAAGTCAAAATGAGGCTCAGTAGTGTGTGTGGCCTCCACGTGCCTGTATGACCTCCCTACAACGCCTGGGCATGCTCCTGATGAGGTGGCGGATGGTCTCCTGAGGGATCTCCTCCCAGACCTGGACTAAAGCATCCGCCAACTCCTGGACAGTCTGTTGTGCAACGTGGCGTTGGTGGATGGAGCGAGACTTGATGTCCCAGATGTGCTCAATTGGATTCAGGTCTGGGGAACGGGCGGTCCATAGCATCAATCCTCTTGCAGGAACTGCTGACACACTCCAGCCACATGAGGTCTAGCATTGTCTTGCATTAGGAGGAACCCAGGGCCAACAGCACCAGCATATGGTCTCACAAGGGGTCTGAGGATCTCATCTCGGTACCTAATGGCAGTCAGGCTACCTCTGTGCGGCCCCCCAAAGAAATGCCACCCCACACCATGACTGACCCACCGCCAAACCGGTCATGCTGGAGGATGTTGCAGGCAGCAGAACGTCCTCCACGGTGTCTCCAGACTCTGTCACGTCTGTCACATGTGCTCAGTGTGAACCTGCTTTCATCTGTGAAGAGCACAGGGCGCCAGTGGCGAATTTGCCAATCTTGGTGTTCGTCCTGCACGGTGTTGGGCTGTAAGCACAACCCCCACCTGTGGATGTCGGGCCCTCATACCACCCTCATGGAGTCTGTTTCTGACCCTTTGAGCAGACACATGCACATTTGTGGCCTGCTGGAGGTCATTTTGCAGGGCTCTGGCAGTGCTCCTCCTGCTCCTCCTTGCACAAAGGCGGAGGTAGCAGTCCTGCTGCTGGGTTGTTGCCCTCCTACGGCCTCCTCCACGTCTCCTGATGTACTGGCCTGTCTCCTGGTAGCGCCTCCATGCTCTGGACACTACGCTGACAGACACAGCAAACCTTCTTGCCACAGCTCGCATTGATGTGCCATCCTGGATGAGCTGCACTACCTGAGCCACTTGTGTGGGTTGTAGACTCCGTCTCATGCTACCACTAGAGTGAAAGCACCGCCAGCATTCAAAAGTGACCAAAACATCAGCCAGGAAGCATAGGAACTGAGAAGTGGTCTGTGGTCACCACCTGCAAAACCAGTCCTTTATTGGGGGTGTCTTGCTAATTGCCTATAATTTCCACCTGTTGTCTATTCCATTTGCACAACAGCATGTGACATTTATTGTCAATCAGTGTTGCTTCCTAAGTGGACAGTTTGATTTCACAGAAGTTTGATTGACTTGGAGTTACATTGTGTTGTTTAAGTGTTCCCTTTATTTTTTTGAGCAGTGTATATGGCCAATATACCACGGCTAAGGGCTGTGTTCTGGCACTCCACGTTGAGTCGTATACCACACCTCCTTGGGCCTTAATGCTTAATTATAGCATGGAATTGTTGAATAATCCTTTCTGATTGGCTTGAAGGGCATTCTAGAGCCTGCATTATTTCACTATAACGCACAGTATATTTGCACAGTAGAATTCATTTTTACATGTATTGTTTGAGCTGCTTTTGAAAGCAAAAGTCGATTTTCGAAACAGAATTGGTATTGTTGAATTCGATTTTCATAATATCAAGCTAGAACTGATGGTTTGGTTAGCTAAACTAGCAAGTCTATTAGTTTGGTTACCACAGCAACTACTGTAGCTATCTAGTAAACTTGCTATCTACAGTGGATGTTGAACACAAATAAACATATTTCTAGTGCCAAATGTGTTAAATTATAGCCATGGTATGAAAGGGATAATCAACTCTGGGCTCTATGTGTTCTCTGGAAAATAATGCAACTCCGTGGAAGGTCAGTTGCACTCCGCTAGCACGTCATGAAACACACCTTCCACGACGTTCATTATTTTCCATAGAACGCATAGCCCCTCGTTGATTATCTCTTACATGATGAGTAAGAAAATCTTTTTTTTTTAAATATAGCACAATAATTAACAACCTCATGCAGAACTTTACAAGAGGCAACAGGACCCAAGGAGTGACCTTCCACGGAGTTGCTAGTGGGACCTAAAGCACATCTGTTATCCAAGGCGTTTTACTGGATGACTGTAATGACATACCAGGAAACACGCACAGCTCTTCTGAGAGAATACAAGGACTCAACAAGAAAGACACCTAGAGTATGTATTGTATATAGAGTACCTGATTCATAGATGAAACTACACTTTGTAACGTATTTGTAAAATAAGTAATTTATCTTGTCAATTTTAAGATTTGTTTTGATTCTTTCACAACAATAACACACCTATTTTTAGTAGACTTAACTGTGTTACAAGTTTTATATTATTATTTAGAAAAAACACGTTTTTGAAATGTGTTTTTATGGCACACATAGGGACCAACGATACTATACTGAACAAATATATAAAAGAGCAACATGTAAAGTGTTGGTCCCGTGTTTCATGAGATGAAATAAAAGATCCCAGAAATCTTCCATATGCACAAAAATATTATTTCTCTCAAATTTTGTGCACAAATGTGTTTACTTCCCTGTTAGTGAGCATTTCTCCTTTGCCAAGATAATCCATCCACCTGAATGGTGTGGCATATCAAGAAGCTGATTAAACAGCATGCTCATTACACAGGTGCACCTTGTGCTGGGGACAATAAAAGGCCATGTGCAGTTTTGTCACACAACACAATTCTACACGTCTCAAGTTGAGGGAGCGTGCAATTGGCATGTGACTGTAGGAATGTCCACCAGAGCTGTTGCCAGAGAACTGAATGTTCATTTTTCTACCATAAGCCGCATCCAACGTCATTTTAGAGAATTTGGCAGTACGTCCAACCGGCCTCACAACCGCAGACCACGTGTAACAACGCCAGCCCAGGACCTCCACTTCCAGCTTCTTCACCTGCGGGATCGTCTGAGACCAGCCACCCAGACAGCTGATGAAACAGTGGAGTATTTCTATCTGTAATAAAGCCCTTTTGTCAGGAAAAAATCATTCTGATTGGCTGGGCCTGGCTTCCAAGTGGGTGGGTCTATGCCTTCCCAGGCCCACCCATGGCTGTGCCCCTGCCCAGTCATGTAAAATCCATAGATTAGGGCCGAATGAATTTATTTCAGTTGACTGATTTCCTTATATGAACTGTATGAAATTGTTGCATGTTGTGTTTATATTTTTGTTCAGTATAGTAAAACAACATTTAAAGGCAACAGGATATCTGACCTTCATTGTCCATCAAGTGCATCCCTATATGTATGTAGTATATCCTTCCTGGAACCATTCATGATGAATCCTAGTCTTGTGCCATGGAGCAATATCCAGCGGAACAAACCCATCAGTAGATGGATACACTGCTGCCATAAAGGGATGCACCTGATTGGCAACCACGTTCAGATATTCTGTGGCATTCAAACGTTTATCTACCAGTATCAATGGGCCCCATGTCTGCAACTAAAACACACCCTACAATCAAAATGCCACATCAGTAATTACATTAGGTTTCACCAGGTCACTCTATTTCATGGAATTGGAGGTCTACCACATAAAGTGGCCACTCATTTATTTAAATGTTTTTACTCCAAACACACAGGGATCCCAGTGGAGAAATGGAAACAGTGCCAACAAAATAGGAGAGGTGTTTATGTTACCTTGATTAAGCAACCCGTTGTGTTTAAACACAAAAGGAGACTGAAGGTGACAACTATATTGACATGTACTTTAGTGGGAACATTGTTATAAAAAAAACATTCTGACTGAAGTAGTTATCTTGTAACAAGCAGCCATCTTATAGCTGGCATAATATGGACATGTTATGCTTTACAATGTTAATGATAATGGATTAGTGATGTACTAGTGGCAGACGTGAGAAAATGTTTACCATCCAATTTTACTGTGTTCAAATTGAATTATAATCCATCAAAGTTCACTGTAATATAAAGTAAACTAGTGTTTCTCCTATCATGTACAGTGAGGGAAAAAAGTATTTGAACCCCTGCTGATTTTGTACATTTGCCCACTGACAAAGAAATGATCAGTCAATAATTTTAATGGTAGGTTTTATTTGAACAGTGAGAGACAG